TCATACCATATCACTTATGTCCACGATTTTACACATATCATCCAAAAAATCTTGAACCCAACATTAATGCACTCTTATTTCAAATATTCACACAAGCTAACCTCCACAGTACCGACAGCTTTCTTAAAGTATTATCCAGACTTCCAAAAAATTTAACAACTTCCTGGAAATTAACTCGTTATCCTGAATACAAAAAAACTGTGTTGCGATTGTATCATCAAACAATTTAAGTCACAATCTCAAATCAACCGAAATTTGCAATTCTCTGTTGAAGTATAGTTTAATACCTTATTGAAACAAGACAATACAACTTTGTATACACTCATATGAAATGATAATGATAATATTATTAACACTAATTTATATCACAGATACAGTTCACTCGAGCATTTGAACGATGTGAATGGAATAAAGAAGAAATTCAAAGAACTACTAAGAAAATCATAAGAACTAGTTAGAAAACGAACAAAGAAACGATGAAAAATAACGATTAACTTTAAGATCGTTTCGTTTGATGTTCTCCTCTAAACCTTATCCTATTCCATTTGATAATAAGAGATTATTATTACTATTATTATTAATACTGTTATTATTATTATCATTATAACATTATTATTATTCATTTATTTATTTAACTAATAATCATAATAATAATTATTATTATTTTCAATATTGTTATTGTCATTAATCCGACACATACGATACTTGCATACATAATGAATATATACATTTAATCTGTCTTGTTATTCTATCATATTATAATAATATAACAAGGCAAGACAATAAATACCGTATCCTTTATGTATTTGCACATACATTCTCATATTCATTATGATGCACAATCTCGGCGAGAAGGTATATTGTAAAGAATGATTTGCTGTAAAAACTATTATTGTTTGTGTGCTGTTGCTAGATGAAATAATGATGCGATATAATAGATCAGCGATGCGATGAAATAACAAAATTATTATTTGCCGAGCAATAAACATGTCGTTAATTACCTTTCAAGCGTCTTACAGTCTGCGAACAGCCGCCCATCAGTGTATAAAACACCGGAACGATTGACCGTTACTCTGAATGTTCCTGATACTTCCACTCCTGATGCTCTCCTCGAATCATTAGTCAGTATTCAATTCCCATTGAAATCTCGTCTTCCTTTCAACACCAACAACCATGCCAATAAAAAACGAGTCGATGCACTATTTCAGTACTTCTTAATGTGTTGAACAAAATGGATTCCGATGGCATCGGATATTGTGCAGCATCCATAAAGTTAATAATAATACTGATAATAATAATAATAATAATAATAATAATAATAATAATAATAATAACAATCAATCCTTATGATAATAATAATAATAATAATAATAATAATAATAATAACAATAATAACAATAACAATAATAATTATTATTGTTGATAATGAAGTGCTATATGTAATCTCATCAGCCAGTTGAATACATTATATAATCATCGCAAAAAAAGAAAGTATGTAAAATGATTCACTGACTCACACATAATATAAGTATAATTATGCTTTACATTCGCTTCGATTTGCCGACATCACATCATCATTATTATGTTATGTGTGTGTGAATTAACAAGTAGAGTGCGTATTGGCGGCAACTTGTCTATCTTTTCATCACCAAACGTGGTTATTTATTTATGATAGCGGATATGAGATAGATATTACATCTATGATGTACGTGCTCTATTGTAGTGGATGTAACGATATGAACAGCTGTGAAGAAGATGATGAAATTTGTTTTAACGCTTTAATGTTGAGCCGCCACTATTCGCTCGTTCAATGGATTGCGCATTTTTGATGACAGAAATAATTCGTTTAACAACAAAAACAGATGAATAGTAGGCGATGATCGGTGGTGGAAGTTGAAGATCATAAGGCCATATTCAGATCGTCCAAGGGACCTATTGGTAGCAAGATTGGCTGTTTATGAACGGCCATTGTATAGGGAATTTACAAACGTTCGTTCACCAAGTCCGACAGTGAATGAATAATCATCATCGAAGTCAGGACTCTGACACCAGTTCGTATGCTTCCATCTTCGTATTACTTCACCAGACTGACCGATCGACCGAAGCATAATTTAAACTTTTGTAATTATAGATTCTAGATCATTTTCTGAAGCATTTATATATTTGCTGACATCAACTTAACGAACAAATGATTGAACAATCACTGCAAGTTGAAAAATGTGCGTTTCCATTAGAAGTTGTTTAGCATATGCGAAGAAAGGAAAGAATATAACCAAACAGTACGATAACTAGTCTCTCTTTGAGTGAACAACTCAACCTTTAAACCGATTGAACGGAACTGACCAAAATGAGTTGAAATAAAGGCAAACATCAGTATTTACGGTGAATTTGTGGTCAAGGTTCTTCGAAGAAACGTTAATATTCAAGTTCAATAAAGTTAAGCATGCATAGATCCATTCACTTGTTGCTAACCTCTTACAAATACTTGTTTCATTTAGAACCATTCAGTTGTTTATGGTAGCAGTTACTGATCAATTCAACAAATCAGAATAGAATTCGATCTGAATCTGAGGGCAGTGGCCAAATGTTAACACGAAGCATATCCTATACACTTCATTTTCATTAAACTTCTCAACGCTGCATGATAATCGAAACCAAACACATCGCTCTTAAACACCAACCAATATGTTTATCACTCGTAAAAATTTGAAATCAGCCTGATTTGAAAGTCAAAGAAACGTTTTTGTTGGGAAGCATTTTATTGTTATATAAAGAAAAGTTTACGAATGTACAGTTTAGCAAGTCAGATACAAACTGATACAGTACAGTAGATCGAAAAGAGTTGAATCGACATCATCATACAATTGATGTGCATTATCAGTTAACTGAAATCATTCATTCAATCGAACGCAAAACAGCAAAAATCGGATAAAACTGTCTCCTGTACCCGTCGTCCGTTGAACATCCATCAGGAAATCACTACTAAAACGCTATTGCAGAGTTGGCGTAAACCAACTGTTTTTGAAAGAACAATCTTATCTTATATACAAATATACTGTTTGAATTCGGAAAGTCGGAGCAAGTTAGTTGAGTTATAAGATGGCTTTTTCAAGAAACAGTCGCCGAAACACTGATGACTTGCAAAACACCTTCCTCATTTTCAACCTCGCCTGCTCGGATCAGGAGCAAAGACGTCAATTACCAGGCGGAAACCTCGGCACGCCTCAGATCATTCTAAAGGCTGTTTCCAAATATACTTGAATAATACAGTAATTCCAAAGTCCCTCAATTAGTACATCGAGCAAAAACATTACCAACAACAGCGGCATTGATGCAATGGTAAAACAATGGCGATATTAACAACAATAATAAATGATAACGATAATGATAACAATCAAAACTATCGACGATTCATTATCACTGATTGTTATCATTACGACTAATCACTTGTTTGATTCGTTTAATCAGCAATTTGTTATTGTTCAATTCTTCCTACTCCCCCCCCCCGCAATTATAATTTCTCTTTTCAAAATGATCATTCAAAATATATTCATAATAATAGTAATACAAAAAACAAGGAAATAATATTACTAACAACAATCAGAATGATATAAAGACAAAACAAAAACAAAGAGTGCTTCAACAAAAGCATATCAATGAAAAAGACGCATGGCGAAAATCAAAAATGATCACAGTAGAATTGAAGACGATGGACAAGTTTACTCTTATAACGGTATATCACCCAAGACTTAAAAATGGACAACGTCATGTTCAAACCGTATACATTCACGAAGATTTGGCTGATCGAAAATGATTCAATAAACGAAGGCACAAACAACACTATATTCAAAACACTTAAGTGTATTCAATGAATTCACCCATGCTCATTCGCTTTCCTTTTGAAACTTTCTCAACCCTTCACATAAATCAAAACATGAATTAGTTGAATCAGTCCAAAAACTCCTCATCTCGTCTGAAAATGCAACATCAACCTACTGAATCTTGCCCAAATTCTGCCAGAGAAACCCACGAACGCACTCGTTCAACCGAATGCTTTTTCAGTTTTGTTGGTGCAAAAAAGCATCGCCGTTACTACTTCTACTATTACCAGTATTACTTCTACTTTGCTATTGCATCAGAAGTGAGTAATCTTAGGCCACATAACAATGTAACCGCAATGCACTCAACTTGTTCACTAATACGAGCATAAATCGGAACGAATATGACGAATAAATAAATAAAAATAAAGATGGTCATAACTAAAATTTGAAACACGAAAAAATATAGTACACATATGAATTATATCAGTCAATTTAAAATTAGAAATCTTTTTTTAGAGCATAAAAGTAGTAACTGGGTTGAATTAACCTAAAATAAAAGCGATGAAATGAACCAACGGAATTATTCCATCTCAGGAGACGAGATATAACAAGATAACTGAAAGTCAAAACACGATTTAAAAACGACAGTACATTAATTCCAAAATATTATCGACATATCATATCACAATGCAATCAAAAAATCAACTCAAACAACAACAACAAATTTTCATTGACTATAAAACAAAAATAAAAATGATATGTATTAGAGATAATATTAATGAAAAAATTAAATAAACAACTACATAAATGAATAATGAACGAAAAATAAGCATAATTCATCAATACGAAGTGGGTTTTGATAACAAAAGAAGGAAAAGATTTTTTTCAGTTAATAGAAAACGATAGTTTTAGAAAAATAAGCAAAGAAGCAGATAATTTTAACCGCATCGGTCAACAATACAAACAACCGCTCAAAATAAATAAACACAGATGTAACAAGTTGGATGATATGATAATCATTCATGCACCTAGTCATATCGTCTCGACGAAACCATCAAACGCGCATCTTGGAATATGATACAAATAAATCTCACATATCCACATAATCAACAAGATAGATCTGATTGCATCATATCAACCATTGATCTGCTACAGCAGCATCACGCACGGCAACAGCCATCAGAGTGCGTAACTGTTGCCACGTTCTGCTTCACGAATATCCTCAAGAAGACCGATTCTCGACGATCGAACCTCCTCACGAGTGATGTCACGATAATTTGCCTCCATACGGCGATCATCAATCAAACGTTCATTCATTCGCCATCGATTTCTATCGTAATGTGGATTTATCAACCTGCAATCAAAACTATCATTACCTTCTCGAAGCAAGTATTCCAAATTAAATTCATTTCACCCATCCTATCACAAGCAGTTGCATTATTATCACAAACAAACAAACGAATAAACGAACCTCAACGTTTCCTCAAAATCTTTTCGCTTCAAGTGATCATCAAATTCCGAATCATCAATGAAATCGTCCATCTCACTATCGTATTCTTCATCATCTAATTCTTCCTCTTCAGCATCATCATAATCACGGTTATAGTTACTGTTGCCACGGTGATACACTGACGCTGATGATGAAGACCTCTGTTGCCGCGCCCTTCAAAACTCATTCTTTCACTCAACCAGTCCAGTAATTCGCTCCATAAATACCTCTCACAACAACTTCCAATCTGTTCCTAATCGAGCGCTTTTCTTTTCTAATCAATCAATTTCTTTCGAGTGAAAATTTCATCCCGATATAAATTTCAAGCGACTTCTCAAAATTTATGCGATAAGGTTATTAAAAACAGTCTGGAAATTATCCGGACAGAAAGAAAAACATTTTTTTGCAATTTGCTGTTATGTTTCACTTTGAGACTTTCAACAGACTGTATACACGATAATTGTCACTTGTTTTAGTTAAGTATTTGTCTGTTCTTCGAAGAATCAATAAAGAAAGGCACAAACATCTCTCGTCGACGTCGTTGCTCAAGAATCATGCGCTCTTTCGCCTTCGAACTAGCACTGCTCATCATGGATCGCTCACGATCATTCATCGCTCTTCTTGATAAACTATCATTGCGATCAACATTTTGACGACACACTGATGCCGCTGCTGCTACTGCTGAATCGTTTCTTCGCATCTCATCCTTTGCTGATTCGTTTCGACTTCTCTGTCGCTCATCAGACCGAGCTCGGTTATCTACGCTCCTAATAACTTCTTCTTATTACAATTACTGTGATTTTTAAGTTTTACTTCTAGCTATTATCATCACTTGTTATTATTATTTATTTTTGTTATTATTTTTATTGTACACTATCACCACTACCATTGCTATCAATATCAAAAGCATCAGTATCAATACCATCAATATTATTGTTCGCAAAAATCTTTATAAATGAACGTATAAACGTGTCATTCGGAATATTTGCAATACCAAGCAGAATAAATGAAAAGACAATCATCAGTTTACTAACTTTCTATCAAATTCTTTACTTCTTCCATTAAATGCTACACTACTTCTTCCTCTTTGATCACCACTGAATGAAGAACTCGGTCCCGATCGACTGCTGCTAGCAGCAATTTTCGGATGACTCGTATCACGCGATGATAACAAGGACGATGTTGGTGGTGGACCTTGATATCTGAAGTATCAATGAAATAAATGAAGATTTTATCAATTAAATGAAGATAAATAAATGAAATTTATATTATAAGGACAGTTGAATTGTTACTAATAATAATAACGATATCAAGCATTACAACGAATACAACAACAATAATAATCAATACAAGAATGGTGATGAGTACAAAAATAAGTTTGATAACAAAAAAGACTTGGACAAAACTAACCTAATATCACCGGGTAAATATCTTTTTGTTGTGGATGGTTGCCGATTTGCAGTAGTTGATGGAGCATTACTACTATTACTATTACTGTTCAACGCTGGCTTTTTAGAAGACAACGTTGACGAAGAAGCTAAAGCGTTTGAATTTTTCGTTGCAGGATGATAAGCAGACGACTGTGATGAAGACGACTTTTGCACAGGTCGCGCTGATATTGGCCTTGAAAGAGATCTGCTTTATTTCTTTTCTTCAAAAAACTAATATTATATTGGATAATTTTTCACGCTATTTTAGCCTATAAAAAAACTCACTCATGGACCTAAAGCAAACAATCGATGATGAATACACTTCTCGAAATGAAACCTTAACTAAGAGGCATTTGGTTAAAATCCTTTCGCGTACACAAAGATTCGAAGTTTACGGATTTACAGATTTACATCACGAGAACTGCTATTGTAACAATTAGTTTTATTGAATATTGTTCACCTTTGATTTCGACTGCTACTAGAATCATCTTTTGCTGCTGAGTGAGATGAAGATGAAGAGGAGTTGGAGGCTTTCATGGGAACAGATGATGAGTTTTTATTTGTTACACTTGCTGCTGTCTTCACAGCACCAATGTTATATTTATTCGTCATACACGCATTTCTATAACAATTAATTATTATTATTATTATTAGCCGTAAAGTTATGGTCCATTAACGTTTTGAAAAAATGAAACGCAAACTTTGGATTTTGTTGTGATTGTTTGACTGAAGATGATGAAAATGAAGACGACAATTTATTTGTATCATTGGATTGTCGTTTCGCGTTATTTGTTGATGGATAACTGTTCGCATTATTATTACTGTTCTTCGATGAAGACGATGCATGGTTCAATGGCTCATAATATGGATTCCTTTTCTTGGGTGGTGGAGGCTCTGGGCTTGGAGATGGACGACGCTGTGGTGGCGTTGGACTCTTCGGCGGTCGTTCGCCTCGTTGAATTGCTTCAGCCTATTCAAAAACTCATTCACTGTGATAACAACGACAACAGTCATAAAACAACAAGTGCCAAAAGACAATGAATCATAAATAGCACAGCAATAAGAACCTTCTTCATTAAGAGCGTAAAATCAATTGCAGAACTGGGTGGAGGAGGCCGTTTCTTGGTTTGCGATTGAGAATTCGGTAACGGTGGTTTCTTTTTCATGCTGACTATATTCTTTGATGTGGAAGAACCAGCAACTGGAGAGTCTTCCTTCCTGAAGCGATCGACTGAACATAACTGGTTATCACCCAGTTCCATCCTCAAATAACATAGTCAAACCAAGAATGAATGCATAACAAACATCACTACGCGCAGTAAATGAACGACGCATAAATCATAATAAAAACTGATAACAAATTATAATAACAGTAAATGATAATAACAAAAAGTAAAGCACTCACATAAAATGCCTCAAGCTATTTTGTTTATTAGTTGCGATTCGATATTTACCCAAAGCTCTTCGTTCCTCTTCAGAAGGTGCCATTTTATCAACTTCACGTTTCCGTTCTAAAGCCTTCTGAACACTGCCACGTATCTCAGTGACCTGTCGATCGAATTCTTCCTTCAACATTCAGCATTCATGATCACAAACAATGATTGATGATGCTGAATAAAGATAATCATTAGTACTACAGCACATGATCTTGATCTGAAATATAATTGAGTGGCACAAAGGGTGATAAAAAAGTTTGGAACCTCTTCACGACACTGTAATTTCCTCAAATACTCTTCATGCTCACGATCGTGCCCATACCGTTGTTGCAACTCTATTGGTGTTGTACCGAATTGTTTTGCCAATTTTTTATTTGCCTTAACACTAACATATTCAGAAACCATGCATTAAATTCACATCATTAACAATCACAATAGTATATATCAACATGATATAAAAACAAATATAATAAAAATATGGAGTCGGGTTCAAGTTTGAGTCATGCAAATACAATCGAAAATATTTACAACAGAATAGATAAAATTACCCGTCCGCCAAATGTAGTTTGCAATCTTAATTGGATCAATTTCTCCTTTTGTCGCTGTTTTTCAATGGCTTCTTTCTTTTCTTGCTGCTTCTTTTTTTCCATAAATGCTGCTATTCGATCACCTATATTCACATCACCGGTACCACTGGCTTCGTTCCTTTCCTTTGAACGCGAAGCACTCAGTTTTGGTATTGAAAACTAAAAGAAAAATAATGCAATCGTCATCGATTCTCATTCAAAAAGCTATGAAATAAGTAGATAAATACGTTATGAAGTGCACATCAGAACCTTTGGTTTTTCAGGCTTCGACTGATTTGATTTATGGTAATCATTGGATGAACTAGCAGTAGCAGCACCACCACCACCACTGGAACACTGTTTATTCATCATCAGTTTTCGTCGTTGTTCTTTCGCCGCACTTATGTCACGTTCCAAACGATTTCGTTTTTCAGAATCTCGCGACTTATCGATTGAACGAATCTCTTTTGATGCCGTCGCATTGTTTGAACTTGCCTGCTTTAGAATTTCATCGAATAAATCCATTTTAATTCATCGAATTCCTTCGTCGAGTCAGCTTCCTCCCTTCCTTCCTTCCACCACAAATAGTGCAGTTCTTTCAAAGATAAAAAATATTCTCCGATGAAGTTACTAAAAAGAGAATATCACCACGTATCGTTAATAATCATCACAATAAAACTTTCCTCGCCTTACGATCACTATACTTTAAAAAAACTTCAACCATCAGACGACGATGTAATTACGCACGAAACGATGATGAAAAATGCAAAACGAGTGGATATTGAAAGGTACAACGATGCGACCCCTCTTTCCTTCCACCTCGGAAATAGCGGTTCTAAAAGAATCCAACAATAAGGACTCTTCTTCAACGACTATTTCCGATGTGAAAGGGAAGATGAATGTATCTGAAGGGACCAGTGAATCATATCAATAAACACTGACAGCAGTGATGAAGTAAAAACGGATGGAACTTATAGAAGCAAGCTCAAAATTGATAGTTGCTTAAGCAAAGCCACAACTGAGATCAATGAAGTGTGGCAAGTAGGCAGCCATACCGAAGGAAATAGATAATAACGAATAAAATTCTTCATTTCGTTCAACCGTACTGATCAAAACCCATTTGTTACCGCTGCGGACCAACCATCTGATCCCTTCCTTCGTTTTCCAAAAAAAAAAGCAAATCGTTGTTGGCAATTAACGAAGAAGCGACAGATGTATACCAAGTGTGTGTAAGATCGCTCAGTTTCTGAAATCAACTTTATCCATATTGTATTAGGGTTGGGAGTTCCCTTCAGATGACAAGGGAGCTTCACAGATATGGAGGGAGATCCTTTTGTTGCAAAAAAAAGGCTCCGCGGGAGAAAAAGGAATGAAGAGGAAATCTCCAACAAGGAGAGGGACTTCACGAAGTTTCATAGAAAAGAGACTGGTTACCAGGGAAAGAGTGATGTTCTCAATAGATAGGGAGTAGTCCTCTTATCTCCTGAAAAAGGAAGGACGAAGGATTCACCAGGAGAACGAAGGTCTACTGAAGCAAAGAGTAGCTCTTTGGGAAGGAGAGAAACTCGCGAGGAAGCGGACGGGTTCCAAGACGATTCCATTTTGGGGGAAGGTTCTAAAGACAGACATCTATTTAAATTCAGACCTGAGGTATCATTTGACCAGAAGAGCTAATCAATTTGCAAATTAACCTGCATAGTTTAAACTGTACTTACATAGAACACTGTTGGAGAGCTGTCATTATCCATTGTAGACCCATTCTAGAATGCGGTACTTAAGTCTGATCCTCAACAACCGAAAAAGATATTCAGTTGATTGAAAAACGCTAATGACGGTTTACTAGAATATGTTTCAAGAAGCATCTACTTATTCCACGGACGAGAAAAAGTTGAAAATTTGCAGCCCAGAATCCTTGCTTGTTGTAGAATGATTTTTGATCTTTATTTATGTCATAGCGCTGTACATAACTTCTGTTAAATTATCCTGCAGCTCCAAAGCTAACATTATGCACCGCTAAACTCCTTTGCTTTTCTTACTATATTAATATTGAACAGTTTAAAAAATCCGTAAATCGTCAAATTACGTGTAAGTCTGTGAATCCAAATACCTTACAATCGGCTAAAATCAGTTTATTTATGTGTTTCTTTTCTTCTCCATTTTCCTCAATCAGTAATTATAATTCATTGTGGGAATAATATCCTTGAATTATCATTTCCTTCTTTATCTAACATTACTCGCTACTGCTGTGCTGTCATTGCTTTTTCCAAATATTTACAGCAATGAGCTCTATGAGTTTTCGTTTTATTGCGTTCTTTTTTTTCGATTGTTACATTTTGACTATCGTTGTGGTTGTATACCGAACGGCCTTTGTCATTTCTTATTTCGAATTTTTGTTGCGCTTTGTTCTCGCTACCGTTTTTCATAGTTATAGTCATTTCCTTTGATTGGTTGATCTGCGATTATTTTACTGGACCAAATTTTGTGCATTCCTCGAATGGTGTCACCATTTGCTTTTTTATCATTCGCAATTAATAATGAATATAGTTAAAAGAGCGAGGAATGAGTTTGAGTTCTTTCCTATTTAGGTTTATCCACAGCCTAAGTTTACCCTGCCTGATCTTCAATCTGATCCAGTACATGTGCTGTGTTTTATTTCAAATTCATATTAACTACAGGAGAACCAATCTCGTCGTATAGATGCGATTTCTTGGAAAGCTAAGAAATAAGAGCAATTCAATCGAGTGTTTTCACTGAACGAGCGATCCTACGCGCACTTGATGAACAAGCTAGCTATAAATAGCCACCCACGAGGCATTGGGACACTTCGGGACAGGATTTGCACGTCGATAAAAGCCTGTAAAACTCGTACGCATGAGCTGGTACATGTGGAGTAATTTTTTCAATGCTTGGCAAAATAAGGCTGAGACTCAGGCGTAGACTCAAACTCACTGTCAGGCTTATATCACGGTTTGGGATAAGGTTTAGTTTTACGCGTAGGCTTCTAAGGGAATTGAGTTCGCCCGCGTTTTTCGCTGCTAACATTGCCTCGCATGAAGTTCTCTTCTGTCTAACATTTTATCTCGTAACGTACGATTGTATAAGGCATAGGTAGGCTATGATTGAATGCACAGGTGGGTATATTTCGGTCGGGCAATACTTGGCTTCTCGCTTGAATTGCAACCGAGAATCGTGCTGCTTATTCTTTTCTTGTTTAAATCAATATGTGACTGTGTAATTGATTGCAGTTTTTTTNTTTTTTTGTTTATCATGTTTAGCTAAAGAAGTTCAAGAGAAAAATTGTCTCATACTACCAATTTCTAATTCTATTCTTTCACACAATTTTCGTTAATTAACTTTTACGATGAGATAAATAAGTTAATAAAAAGCTGTCTTAATGGATGCATCTGTGTTTATTGATCATTATTTCCACTATTCAATGAATCATTTCAGAATCATCCGATATTCCATTATATTTTCGAACTGTTACCGCAGCTGCCATCTAGCACCAGATGTTCTATTGCATCTCACAAATTCTCCTCTCTCTTCTGATCGCCGTCGTTTTTGTTGTCGTTGTGTTGGCCGCCCTCGGCAAATCACTTGGATTTCGAGAGAAATTTGTCGATTGTCTTGTAAATCTTTTTGAGGTATGTGTGAGTTTTTAAAGGATCTGCTTTCGTTAGCAGTTTGATACGTCCATCAGTACGAGACAGTCTTTAGATTTATTCAAAGCTAGTTCAATCACGTATTCTCATCTTCATCATCAATTTCCTGCAATAACTTTTGTTTCCACCATCTTGTCAATATATCAACTATTTAAGTACTAATATATCAACTGTTTAAGCTTTTCCAGACATGGAAATTTTCGAACGGAAATAAAGTTTTTCGAATAATGAAAAGCGTAGTAAATGTCAAAAATTACATTACGTACTTATTTGTCGTATATTGTTGCAGTGGGCCGCCACTCAAGAGCATAGCGTCGGGTATGGACGGTTGGATTATGAATGTGACGAAAGTTCATCGGAGGGTTATGAAGAAAATGACGCCAGTGAAGAAATGTCTGACAGAGACCTTTTACTAAACAGTAAAGGAAATGATCGCTCTAAAGCAACAAGAGTACCACGACGATCACCTGTACGAGCCGCAAAATTACCACACCAAAGACGGGACTCATCTAATTCGAGTGGTATCTTTCATTTGTTTTACTGAAAAACCGAAGAAGAAGGCAGGCTGAAAAGCTTTGACTAAGAGAGCATCAATCTGTTTTCTGTACCATTTTCTGTCTCGATTCGTTTTCGTGAAATACACGATTGCATTGAATAATCTTAAACACTTACACAGGTCTCTAAAAGATGAGAAAAATACCATATCAGGTGTAAAGCAAAAGATACACGAAAAGTATCTGATTTGAAAAGCATGAATTCTTTATTGCGATGGAATTCAGTTATATTTCTTCTGTTTTAAGGTATAATAAAACGTGAGAAAACGAAAAGTATCGAGAGTAAATTAAGCAATTTGGGTGATATCGAAAAAACAAGTATTGTTGGAGTGATTGTAGATGATACTTTCGACTTCATCACGGTAATAAATTCGTCTTTCTCAAGCCAGTATGTATAATATGAATCTAATAACGAAACTTATAATTATACTAACAATAATATGTACAGGCAGGAATCGAGTCGATAATTGAAGACCAAGTAACAAGTCGTTTCAAGGCTGAAGAATTAGCCTCATGGAACTTGTTGACCAGAACAAGCTATGGCTATCAGCATATTAAGTACTCATACTATTGTTGTTATTGTTTTCGAAATAGTTTACGCACTGCTATTTTTTCATACGTACTTTCAAAGTTGCAAATGGTTCCGAATCGAGGTATCATTTGCCGTTTCTTATCGCTGTGTTTAATAAACAGAGAGTAGAAGAAAACAATGAACAAGGAATTAAATGTTTAACAAAATAATCATGATGTCACTTCTGCCTAAATTGATGCTAAAATTATTTTGCCAAAATTTAGTGGAAAAATGACAGCACTGTGGGTGATTGGCTTCTTTATCCGTTACTTAATATTGGTACCAATTCGAATGGTTCTCTTTATGGTTGGCCTATCATCAATGATCATTATTACTGCACTACTCGGCTACATACCGGATAAGAGGTAATTTTAAAATATCTGCCTACATACACATTCCTTTGGAAGTGCTCCACTTCCAAACGAATGTATATGTGAGCAGATTTTTTTGTATTGTTAGAGATAATATGTCATTATCGCTGTTATCATTAACGGTATTATTGTCATTAATATTGTGAATATAACTGCCAATAATACTTGCAATATTGTTACCAACTCAGTGTTTTTCGTTTCAGTACAAAACGTTGGTTGAACGAACGGGCGATGTTGATGTGTATGCGTGTTTTTTCGCGGTCATTTTCCAGTATAATTCGTTTTCATAATCAGTAAGCTTTATACTCATATCGTAGCGTAACGAATGCTTTGAACTCGTTGCCAGAACATTAGTAAAGTACAACAGTTATCTATCCAACCTTTCTTTACTCATTCACAAGAATTGTCATCAGAAACACCTCATCAAAATGTACCCAAATATATGTACTCAGTGCCTAGAATTTCTGTAATTTTTTTGGGAGAGAAACATTGTTCCACAAAAAAAAGCCTCGCAAAGTGAAGTGATAAAATGCTTCAGAGAGAATCGCGCAAAACAGGGTGGTATATGCGTTGCAAATCATACATCCCCAATCGATGTGATGATCCTAAGTTGTGATAATTGCTATGCTATGGTTGGACAGCGGCAACCTGGATTTTTGGGTTAGTATAATATTATTAGTATTGTCACTATTAGATTAACTGTAACTGTTATAATAGCACTCGTTTAGCTCGTCGACCGGTTGTCAGTATTAATATTATCGCTTCAATTATTCTTATTTTTATGTGGGCGTCATTTATTGCTATTTTTTGTGGAATTCAATTCGTGTCTGTTCGCAGCAAAAACCTTTAAAGTTTGATGAAGCTAAATGAATTAATTAGCACTTTAGGATTTCTGCAAACAACAGTAAACCGTTCCAGCGACCACATATGGTTTGAACGCAGTGAGGCTACCGATCGGAAACAAGTTTCAAAACGGTTTTTCGAAATAATCTAATAACTTGAATTTGCCTAAATTTATAACATTCACATCTGTAAATACATTACATAAGGAAAATTTGAAACTTGTATCATCTCTCTTTGATTCCTTCGAGCAAATATGAATCGTTAATTCAGTGAAAAGTATTCACCGTTCTCTCGGTCACCACCTCATTTGGGTTCATAAATCAGTTGTTTCTGCCATCTTCGATTGAAATCATGGCTGTTTCCAGGTTACAAGAACACGCTGATGATGTGAATAAACTGCCAATGATAATATTCCCAGAGGGTACTTGCATCAATAACACCTCCGTGATGATGTTCAAAAAAGGCTCTTTTGAAGTATGTATATCACAATCGATTAGTTCTTTTCTTGACTGCACTATTCTCATTTTCTTTCCAAAATTATGCATACATTTGAAATCAGTTAATTATACGTCAGCCAGCTTTACATCAACTCTGAAATGGGACGATGCGTGACGAATATAGCGTAGCATTTATTTGAGATAGCGAGTACGATTTATCCGATAGCAATGAAATACGACTCGCGTTTGGGTGATGCTTTTTGGAACAGTAGTGAGCAGTCGTACGGCGAGTATCTGTTCCGTATGATGACCTCATGGGCGATCATTTGTGATGTCTGGTATTTACCAGCAATGAGCAGAAACGTTCGTTTTTATTTATTATCATTGTATCGTGACTGGCACATTATATTATATGCATCGAAACACTGAATTACATTCATCTGAATACAAATTTATGAACACGACTTGTCACTATATTCTATCGGCTTACGAACTCTTCCATCTGTGGTTTATTTCTAAAGGAAGGAGAAGATGCCGTTGCATTTGCAAGACGTGTGAAGCGCGCAATCGCCCAGAAAGGTGGTCTCGTCGATTTGGAATGGGACGGAGGCCTCAAACGTGCTAAGGTCTGAGCATTGATTTTAGTAGTTGGTGAAGCAAATGAAAATTTATGCGTGGCTAGTACTCAAAATTGACAAATTAGAACAGTGGATAATTACATAATGTGACGTTATGAACTGAATTTATAAATCAAAAATGAAGAGTGAATTAGCATTTTACCAGTTCCCTGTTGTTCGTAATATTATTGTAATTATTAAAACGTGTTTATTGACGAGCAGGTGCCACCAAAACTGATCGCGCAGCACCAGAAAATGTATTGGGAACGTTTGTCAAGAAAAACTTCCATCAATGCTGAAACTTTGGAGGAGGCAGCTAAACTAACAGCAGACATAATCGCAAATGAGGTTAGTTAGCACTGATCTTTCAAGAATTGGAGTTTTCGTTTTGGAAAACAGTGTAAAATTTAGTTTCATTTGTATTTGATATGCGTTTACTGGTTAATTGCACACTACTGAAAAGCATTTTGAAAATTGAGAGATTTTTGAGCGGAAGTAAGTGCAAAAGGTAAAAAATTATAGCACAGTTTCAGAATGATTTCAGATAAAGTTTTGTGCAGTTGATTTTGTTCTTCATTGGAATCAGTTTCGTTTGTTATTTTCGATTGATTTATTGTAGACTCTTCGAGAGGCATTAAAAGAAGAGGAAGAAGTGATGAAGCATGGAAAAGAACAAGTTGAAGATCGTGAGCAACGTGTTCGATTGCGTAAAACACCAGAAATGGTAAACAACACCGAAAAAGATTTTAGTGCCGAAGATTTCTGCGATAAATTTGCAATAAACGAAAACGACTTGAAGCAGTGTTCGACTTCAACGATCGAAAAAGTTCAATAAGTAATTGTTGTTTCATAAGTCTTGAGTAATTGTTTCATTATTTCGGCCATTTATTCGTTCAGTTGATTTATTATTCTATCTGAGATTACATGAGTGTGTTTATAAAAAAAAGGAATTTTCATTTTAATTTCTGCATTTCAAACGAACAGATACGGTTCGAGATAGCGTTGGTCATAATGATTATGATGATGATATATTGTTACTGATCTATTGATGATTGTTATTGCTATCATTTTTAAACACTCGTTTGAGATCTTCAGTGCTCAAATTTTGTTGTCATTATACGTTTGTTTGACTGTTTAGTTCTGATGCCATATAATACCGGTGATAATAATATATCTGTGTCTTAATCAGAGCACTTTTGTGTTGAATAGTGGCTCCATGGTTAGTGTGAATAACATCGATAAGAATTTCATTGAATCGACGTGAAGGAAATTGCATCTTTTACATCCTAATGAAATGAACGAGCAGATAAATTCTGTGGCAGTGAACTCCCATCACTCTCTTTTCATACCTCATTGAAGTCAAAGAAATTGCCTGCATGAGGTAACAGAACGATAAGAAAATCGATCGAATAGGCCATTGGCTAACTGGTCGATCGATCATGTTGAGTGATCAAATCGATTAGTGAACAGAAAAATTATTAAAAGTGAAATTTTGATCGGTGTTATTGTTGAATAAATAAGTCGTTTTTTTGCTGCACTCATTGTACTGTTGCTGATTTCGAATTTGTTATCGGCGAATCGAATTTTCTCATTCAATTCCTTGTTTTTGTCATCCTTATTCGATTCTTTTGTCACTAGAGGAATGTTTTTGTGTCATTTATTTTGTTTAAAAAGAAAAAGCCTATAATTTCCATTGACATTTCATGTTTCAAATCTTACAGTGTTCAACGCAATTTTCGTCTATTTTTTTCAAGGAAATAGCTTCTGTGACTGTTTGCTGCCATTTTGCTCTTATAATTATTAATGTTATCGATATTAATGGTGTCAGTATTCTATTGGGGTAGTGCTCTTATTACTGTTATTAATGGTAGTAAGATTTCATTCATTTTATAATTATCTGTATTATTATTGTATTAGTATTATTATCGTGTTGGTATTATCATTACAGTATTATTATCACTATAATTATTATTGTTGCTATTGTTCTGTGCAATTTTTGTAGGTATTCTGAAAATTTAAGATACGTATTTGTACTATCCAACTAATTGTTCATTTCTACGTTGCTTCATTTAATCTCTTTTTTGTCCATACTTTTCTGTCATGTAACGACATGCAAATCGTATATCCGAACATGGGATTTGTAGATAACATAGGATATATTATTCGCTTGTTCGTCGAAATGTTTCGAAAATATGTAAGTACTTGTGCGCTGAATTGAACAGTTTTTCTTCAAATAATCGAATTTATTTGCTCCTTTATTTTCACTGCTCTTGTTTTGATTCTACTTGGAAATTATTTTTCACAGTGATTGGAACGTTTTGTTCTTATAATGTTCTGGTATTTTCGCTATCTTCTGCATCAAATTTTCCATGTTTCTAACTTTTACAACGTTTTATTGTCATACTCGTCTACACAGTCAAGTGCCTTTAAAATGTTTTGCTTTTTTAAAATGTTCTTTTTTTTTCATTCACTCTGTACATTCATAGATATATTTATCAATCAATCAATCGCAGAATCGTTGCTATCGTTGCTAAGCCACCTTATTATGACTAGGCTTCTTTTTTTCCACTCTGACGAAACAATTCAGTTCTTAGAAACACTGATATTTCACGACACTCGATGGTATATTTCACTAGTGTATGAGATGTTATACCGTCCAATTTACATTTAATAATTTCATTTTATCGACAATTCGTAAGTTTGCCTTTTTGTTGCGTACGTACGCAAAAAAAGATCGTTTTGAATGATCCAATAAGTGTTCACCATTTGAGAACTTCCACTCTTTATTTATTCACTAATTTTTCGCTCAAATTGTTTGCATTTTATTTTTCATTGATTCGAAGTGGATAAAAAAGCTTTATGGTTGTTACTGTTGCTTATTTGAATAAATTTGTTGGTTAGTTATCAATCGCTTTCAGAACTCTTCTTCAGTCGGTTCTTATCCTGAAAACCGCACAAAATCTCCAGTCAAGTCACGCTTCAAGTTAATCTCATAACGGCAGAAAAAAATTTTTCAAGATTCTATCGTCACATTCAACACAACAGAAAGTGAGCATTTAATGAATGAATCAGAATATTACTCTATGTTGAGGATGATGCACTGGAAATGAGGTATACTTCAATTCTTGACCAGGCAGGATCTACCATAATACTATACTATCAGTGGCAATATGAACTGCATATGAAAACTCATGCAATATTGCTGCCACTTATCGTCACCTCTCATTTCTGTCTATTGCTCGCTCATCGCAGCACCGACTATGTACGAACCTCCACATTCGTAATCTTATTCTGGTATCCTCATTTCTTGACGTAGCGCTTCTCTTTTTTCCGGACGTAGAATCGGCACAAAGCATTGTTAAATTGTGATTGATCGTGGCCGTGTTGAAATGTTCTAAAAACAATAACAGTGATAATAATAACAATAACTGTGACAATGATAATAATACTAATGATTATTATTAGTAATAATGCTAATTAATAATAATAACAGTAATAATAACAACAGTAATAGTAATAACAGCAATGATAATAATAATAATAATAATAAAAATAATAATATTAATAATAGTAATAACAGCAGTGATAACAATAGTAATAATAATAATAATAATAATAATAATAATAACAGTAATAAAATAATAATAACTCGACATCGAATCGCAACAAAACTAGAAGAAAACAACAAACAAACCAGTGCGCTCACATCTAATTGCAAGCGCTGTTCAAACAAGTTTTTCTTTGAATATCATTAAAAAGTTCGTTGGTTTTTAGTCATAAAGTGGTTGTGGTTCGAAGAAAGATGTGCAATATTAATTATCATGATAATTAAAGACGATTATGCAACATTCAACTGAAAGCTTATTCAACATCGTGTGTGGCGTTCATTGCTCAGCAGTTTACTATTTGCAAAAGCGTACTCAATGAAACTAATCATCACATCAATTAGATCAGTGATTGATTGGCATTGGAGAGAGGAAAATTCTGTTCTAAAATTTGAGGGTATCAGAGGTGAAATTATGATGGCGAACCATTGCTCATTGTTTTTTTTTTCATAACTCCTTCACAGTTCTAGCATGCTTTTAAAATGATTGAATGATCAAAAAGAATGAATTCAATGGATACCAACAACGAAATCCTTACAACAAACTCATTCATCAGCGGATCTCGACTCATAATTTGGCTATGCAGCATGGATTAGCATAGACGTTAACTATACAAAATTGGGTGGTGTAATGAGGTCGCTTAGCTATATGATATTCTTTAGAAATTTACTTATATCTCTGGAACTAGGGATAATCCTTCAACAACAACAACAATTACCCTTCAACAATACTAATATTGGCATGAATTTTTTTCCTGCCGTTCCTACAGGAACGGAGACGAATCAATTTTTAATCGCTCATCCCCGTCCTGTGGTAACCTTTCGGATACACAACTCTCAAGCAGTTTGTTGAAGTTAGATCACCACAAGGGGGAATTCTCGCTTTGACCATTGCGGATATTTTAAAGTTGTGGAAGCAGACCCGAGGAGCCAAGCAGATTTTTCCATGCCATCCAAGCGTTATGTAGTGCCTCTTGGGTTGAGTAAGTCAACTTTTATGAAGAATTCTCCGGGATGAATCTGTCCAATAAGCATTGCTATGCACCGAAGTTTCTCAGGCTTATCGTTTCTAATTGATGGTGTAGTGCACGGAATACCAATTAATGGAAATTGCCACGGAAAGCAGGTAAGACTCTTTCCCAGGGAGTTATGGATAATCCCCATTTATTTGGCAGCTTCTCTACTTTATTGGGGATTCTTAAATCACAACAACGTTCCAGTTTCTCAATCATACTCCGAAACGATGCAATAATTTTCAATAGAGTTCATCCCTGGCTATCGTCGTTCAGGAATGAGTTTCTAGCAGGAATGCTGAGTGATAAAATGCGAGAACAATCAAAAGATTACATTAGCAATCAGCACACTCAATCAAAAGATTACATTAGCAATGTTCAACATCACCACCACATACATTCAGAAGAGCACAAATATTCATAAATGTATCCATAACAGAACATCACACATTTAAATATTCAGCTACCGTAGTCACCTGTGGAGATGAATCAATCAGCAATCTGTTGGGAAATGAGTGAATGCAATGACGATGAATAAGGAAGGCGGGATGATGAAGAGTTGACTTACTGTGATTGGTTGATGGGTGTAGTTGGATGCATGACGATTGCATTGGATTAATTGATGGGTTGAAGGGCATGAATCGATGAATTAAGCAAATTAATCGTCATATTGTTCCATTCATGTGTTAAGATGCTCTTATAATGTTAAGAATGAGATAATCTCGACGACACAAATTAAGCAAGAAACCAGTAAAACATCAATCGCTTGTGTACGTACTGTTATTGTTTCATGTCAAATATGTTGGTGCTTGATTTAATCCGCACTGTGCTCATCGTCCTTCTATTTTTCGTTTCTTTCTCAATTTTAAGATATTCACCAACATCACCATAACAAATATTATTTCATCTTATGATAATAATAATAATGATAATAATAATAATAATAATAATAATATTATTATTATTATTAACAATCCCACTATTACCGACCTGAAATTCATCTCAAGAAAACAAGAAGTACTTCATATCGTAAGCGACCCTAATCGGACAATTTGTTCATAGATATCATGAAATATTTACGTTGAAACCATCAGTTCGGGCCTATATTCATATGATAAGAAGAAACTGAATGAAGAAGGGTAAAAAATAACTTTATGAAATCAGTTAAACAATCTATTCATTGAACAAACATTGTAATCGAATGAAATATAAACAAACTCGTACGGCAGGCTTGAACTTACACTCCAGATAATATCGAATTCAAGTAACGATTCCAACTTTCTAATAGTTAAGAACATTATATCAGAAACCATCAATGCACATCTATCTGGAACATCCTCGTCGAGTCTACTGAGTGTTTGCCTTCCCGTTGTTGAACCAGCCCTGGAATCATACAGCCATAAGCGTCCACCTCCTCTTCCTTTGGATCACCGATACCGAAATGATCTATCTTCATTCCTTATCCAAACAAACTTATTCTTTGTTTCGGACCCTTTTGTTGATCCAAACTTATCGTTTTTTGTGGTCTCGTTTCTATTGTTATTGCTAAACAGTGAACAACAAACGATGCTCATTGGTTGCCTCACTGTCGCTTATTGCTTAACTCTCCACTTCACTCCACGCCCATTATCCCCAACCACTAATAGTACTATCCATCCTTGCTTATCCCAATCCCCATTATCCACTCGAGTACCCAAATCGACCGACCTACCGACTGAGCGAATTACCGAGAAAAAGCTCGTTTTCACCTCTCTAAAACGACACCGGATCGGTCCACTGTCTTGACTTCGGTCAAATCCTGTCAAGATTGTCATCTCCTACTCCAATCCTCGTCCTCCTTCTTCAATTCAAACGAAGAATCGAAACTAATTTCGTCATTCTAAATCCTATTCTAATTCTTCTTATTACTATTATCCTTCTTCCAGTGAACCATCTCATTAATCGCCTTGGCACTGTGTGTTCAAAAGCGCTTTGTTTTTATTTGCTGCTACTGTCACCTACCAAACTGAACAAGAGAATCCGAGCCATTATTCAAAGTCCTTTGGTTCCATCCATCAGTCATAACACTAAAGTGTCGGTTACGTTGTGCGGCTTGCACATTATCGTCAATCAAAAAAACAAAACAATAGAAACAACAATAACGGTTGTATTTGTAAGAATAACAATAAGCATTAACCATTCGATAAGAGAGATTGAACTAAAAAGAGATTACCTATGCGGATTTAAGAACATCTAAATATTCAATCCGCTCTTCAAGTGCATTAGCTGAATTCTTACTAAAAAGCAACCATACCTATTCCTCATCGTTCATTGTTCTACTAATCTGCATATCTTACGATGTTCATGTAATGTTCATTACAAGCCTTAACACTCGTCCTCAACACCTCTCACGAGAACAAATCCTGCAGCTATGGGGTAAGTGCAAGTCGTCATTTCTTTTGATCATATTCACTGACCACATTCATTCAGTTTGCTCATTTTGCTTCCTCAAATTTGGTTGCTTTGTCCCCCCGATGACATGTTGTGTCGCTGTCTTCCACTTTCAGATTTTTCTATATTTTTTTCACATTCGCGTTCCCTCGATCGACCTACTACTGAGTCTCTGTGGCCAAAGTTTTGCGGTCATCTTAATTCAGTGATGCCGCCAAAAATAACTGAAATAAAAACGCTCCCAACTCCAGATTCTCAGTCAAACAAAATTCTATGCTCAAGTCCATTCAAAGACTCCACTTGCTAACTGTCGATCATTTAACTAGAATCTATTTCATAAAACAATTCCTTGAACCAATCTATCAGCTTTTTAGGTGTTGCTGATCATACTCATATTATGAGCAAAATGATGACTGCGCGTCAGAACGCTAATACGATGAATCAGAACAATATTAATCATGACAATGATAAGAATGGTGACGCTAGTGATAATAAATTGGACAATAATTGTAATGATAATCCAAAAGTAATCGCTAGCGCAGTTTCTCAATCATCCCTCTACTCTAACAAAGCCACAACAACAATGGCAACAACAGCGGCAACACATACCACCGGAAATGGCACAAAACCGAAAGTATGTCTATGTTTTCAGTTGAACTTTTAAGACAATCATTTGTAATCAAAAATACGTTCAAAGGTGTCACCAAGGAAAAATTATCAAAAATTCATTCCAAACGAAGCGCACAAGCATTTCAGGTTGCTACTCCTCATGTTATCGCAAAAATTGAGCAGTATAAACGTGATAACCCGACAATATTTGCATGGGAAATACGTGAACGTCTTATCAATGAATGTGAGTGTAAAACTTCTTAAATGATAACCTATTCATCATCAACTCTTTGCTATCATTCTTGAGAACTAATTGTTACAGTTGAACGAGAATTGAACAAAAGTGAAGATGAGATACATTCATTTTTAGAATCGTTTCAATAATTTTGTTTTCGATGAAAATTCACTGCAAAAAGATGACTCGCTGTAGGCACATGAATGAAAGAGAAAGATAAACAACTTTTTAACACTTCATTTTGAACACTCACATCGTCAAGCCCTTGCTTTTCTTGGCTCTTATTTTCCTCGATAAGCAGCACTACATATAGTACAACGAAGTCTGATTGTTATTGTAACAGCATCAGTAATCAACGACCTTACTTACCGTATGCCACAAGCACTTAGCACTCAGCACTTCACACATCAATGTTTAATCAAAATCATCAAAAATTTTCATCGCATTCATTTTCTTTCCTCTTAACCAATTACCACATAGCATGTACCTACTACACAACATTCATCGCGTACGCAACTATAAGCAATAAATCAATCAATTTCGTATTGTCCGATCAATCAAAACCTTCGAGCATATGAAAACAGTATTTCAATATTTCTATACTTTGAATCGATTTTTTTTTGGAAAGAGCTAATGTTGGGAAAAAGAGCAAAAGGTGTGAAATCAAATGAGATGACCGATTTGCAACAACTTGTGATAAGATGGCTTCTTGAATCCTATTCATATATCTGTTCTAAAAACGATTAGCTTGCGCCTTCACAAGATAATAATCATAAAACATTTCAAAATCTTATTCACCTCTCAATGAATCCATTACTATTACATATCCTACCATCACATCATAAATTTAACATTACCATTTCCTTGCATACACACTACAACTGTAGTCGTTCTCAAATCGTATTTCCATTAATTCTGAAAAGAGCACTTCTTGGACTGCACAAACTCCTTAACAAGTTACCAGTTGTTTTGATGTGTTTCTTGTGATTTTGCAGCAATTTGTGCACAAGCGCCTAGTGTTAGCTCAATAAATCGTATTCTAAGAACGCGAGCTGCGGAACGTGCCGCCGAAGAACTATCGATGTTGTTGAGCAGTCAATCGCAAACTTCTCAGTCTCGACGACAACGACAAGATCCTTCAGCAGCCAATGCTGCAACACGGAGTACTGCTCATGTAAGCGGTGATCGGTTGTCGCTAAGATACGACGATATCAGTCAACAGTACCATTACATGATGATGACTGCAATGATGATCGCGCAACACCAACAACAACTATTGCTGCACAATCAACTTCCATCATCGTCGACTTTCATTGATTCCAGCTGCGATGATAACAACAATGATAAAAACAATGACAAAACAGATGATGACCATACAAAAATAAATACCATTCAGCAACAACAACGAGCAGATTTCCCTGTCAACGCAGCACTACCACTACCAGCCGCTCAACAAGCATTTATTCAACCAGTTCTCGCTGCTACACCGTGGCCGACGACAGGTGACATTTTTTAAAATCAGTTCATCACTGTTGACAATAATCAATGCATTCATCCTTTTCGTCAATATCTCAAATTCAAGCAACAACAGCAACAAGAATCTCAACACTAGCGATACTCGTCCAACTGACTAACTAATTGAAAGGCTCGAAAAGATTCAAAAACTGAAGTTACTTAAATTAAATCAAAAACATCCGCGATAATTGAACTTGAATCTTGTGCATCATTCAACTCCACTCGTTTGGTTGGCATCATGAAATTCAGGTATCTTCTTCGATCAATCTTCTCTAATTCAAGCTGCTGCGATGACCAGTGCTGCAGCAACTTCTGCACCTCTATATAGTGCCACGTCTACTTCAAACACATCGTACCACCCATTTTCTACAACAATAACTGCAATTTCTGGTCGCCGTGCAGAACCGCAATCACTTCTGAATGCTGATTTAGTCGCAGCTGATCTCTACTCACCAACCAAATCGAATCAAATTTCCATAATGTCAAAATCTTCTCCGAAAATGACACATCATAATCGTCAATATCCCTTCAACAGCAAAGCACCAGTATCTTTAACTGTGCCTTCTTCATCATCAGATTCATCGTTAAGAAAGTTGAGCGCAGACGACCAAATCGTCTCAGCAGCACCAACAAATAATTCATATTCTTTCTGCTGCACAAGCAACACACCGAAAGGTCATTATCTTTATAACCATCACCAACAGCAAACAACATCAGTGTTACCATTATCTTCTGCGGCATATTTTTCGAAACGATGCTCCAGAAGCAGTTTTGCACCAGGTAGCAACCTCACCAATTTAGCCACAAATCTTTTTGGGTTAAAGAATTTTCAAATGATTTACATTTTATATTTCATTGACCACATCAGAAGAGAATAGGAAAGCGATGAAATGTAAGTAAATAATTGCTCTGTTCTCTTTTGAAGTCCATCTGACGAAACGTTCATGAAATATGAACAGCTAGACAGTATTGGTTCCTTCTCCGCTCAACGACTCATTGTTTTGCAGAGCAGTTAGCATGCTTAGAAAGTGCATTCGAGAAATCTCCATATCCGAGTGCCACCGAACGCGCTGCACTAATCAGGCAGACACAATTGCCCGAAGCAAGAATTCAGGTGAGTGCTGAACAAAACTGCAAGTATATTTCGCTGCGTTTGAATTCACTCGTTTTAAAGTCTGATTTATTTTTGACAAAAGTTTATTTGGCACCTGGTTTCACTCTTTTTTTGCATCTCAGTTTGGCGAACCTTTTCTGCTTGCTTATATTTTCGTTCTGTCGTTGTTTCGTAAAGGAAACTAACGTTACGCTAAGCACAGAAAACGCTCGTAGCTTTAATAACAGACCTCGAAAAATTTGGCGGTTTTAATTGGAAAATTAGGGGCTATGCCTCTGCATATCTTCCTCATGACTACGGACCTGGATTATATGTGCAGAAATAGCATTTCTAAGTATGCATTTTAAAATAATATCAAAATTACGCATGATGAGGTAAATTAATTGTAATATGATGATAAGTGTCGATTCTTTTGAATCAGAAATATAAGAAAAGTGACTTCCGTTTCTTATTTATTCAAATTTGAACGTAAAACAGTCTGGAGAAATGTTTTATTCCTTCACAGGTATGGTTTTCGAATCGTCGAGCCAAATGGCGGCGGATACAACACGAGAAAACGTTATCAGTGCCACCATCATGTTCATCATCGAGAACATTCTATTCATCAGCAAACAGCGACAGTACATCACCATCAAATTTATCGACACTCGTCAATGATTCGCACATCGAATGTGACAACCATATGATGAAAAGAGCTGAAAAACGACATCTCACATCACCAAAAGAGGATCATTCGGTTAGTGGAAGGAACTTTGTGTTAGGTGATCCAAGAGGCGAAGTAGCTGAAGAGGAAGAGATCGGAGCTAATGAAGATGATCATCAAGAATATTCGTCATCATCACCAATTAAAAAATTTATAACCAGTAAAAACATTCCTTTCAAACCCTATGAATAACCAAGGCATTAACCAGTAATAGGACATGCTCTCTGGATTATTCGAACGCAACAAATTATGCCAACGAACCAGTTGCTTCTTAACATTACTCTCATTCCATTTCGATCCTTCGTTAGGTTTCAACATTTCTTTTTAATATACCAATCGTACCACTCTGTCATCTTATGCTCAAGCAAACTGCAGTTATAACCTCAAAAATACCGTTGTATACCCAATACCCAAGTCATATCATATCCTACCATACCACAGCAAATCGTTTCAAAATAAAGTCCATCTACTTTAAGTCTACGATTAAGTTGTTCGCTATCATCAGATACATATCTTCTTTTGAAATCAGTCAACTAGCAAAACGATAGTCCTTAGCAGGTATTGACTATCTTTTCACTTGTTCAATAATAATATGAGCCATAAAGTATCTAGATCAGCCTTCTAATCGCCTGAAAACATTGAATGATGAGTGTGTTTCTCCTTTATTCCTCTCAATTTGCAAATATTTACATTTACATTGTTTACATTAATTTTTTTGCTTGTATGTGCGTGCGTGTTCTTAAAGTGAAATAAAAATGAGAAGAATCAAAAAATGATACATTAAAGAGCTTTTCATGATTAACTTGGTCAAAGATATTGGTTTGTAAAGTGTTTCTCATATTATCGTCATTATTATTACTGTCAGTAATGTTATTATTATTATTATTGTTATTATCATCATCAATTCTCAATTCGAACTTACAATTGTCAGACTCCGTTCTTTCATTCAGCAACGACCCACCAATTCAGACTTATAAAATCCGCTCATTCGCACACATATAACTTGTACATGTACCTACTTTAAAACACATTTGTTATTTACACAGTTAGCACTTATTCGTTCTAATCTAACCTTAAAATAACTATAACCACAATGAGAGTAACAATAACAAGAAGGCGATAAAATTTCCAGAAGTAACGCATTGAAGATGAGTATCTTTGTCAAGTAGTCATAAGTGGATGTATAAATTCTGCGAAAAGATCCTTCTCCTTGCGATGTAACAATAATAGTACTACATTAATTGACAGTAACCTGAGATGAACATGAGGATGACCGTAGTAATATAACACATACTTGTGCACACATTAACACCATAACAAGATGCAGTCAAGTGAACAGCATATTGTGTATTGTTCGTAATGCATTAGCTAACTAGAAAATAACCAATGTCGTATCTTTATCCCAGTGAGACAAATTCTGATACAATTACTATGTACTGCTTTAGTCTACACCTACAATCTCAATTTAAAACATTATAATATTAAGGGTTATTTATCACAACTACTGTAGTTGGTATTGTTACATTACAAATTAGCATTGTCTTATTTAGAAAACACTCAAATACTCAGTCACATCTTTAATCGCAATCGAAACAACTCGTAAGAGGTCGCTTGCATCCTATATTTTTTATCTCCACTTTAACAATCTAAACGCGACTTGAATGGGTACGAAGAATTCTGATGCGCACAGATTTAATTCTAAGAGTGATACAGAAAATTCTTCTACCGACTTAATTTGTCTCTTCGGGTGTTTCTCATCTCGCAAAACAACTATTGTACGCTTCTTCATCTGCCCTCTTTGAACATTCGTCCACCTATTCAGCTGCATATAGTTTTTCGGCAGTTTGTAATGTAGCCGCTCAGAATGAGATCGAGTATGTAAAAGCATTATTATTGTGATTATTATTCAAACAATATGTATTTATGTTCTACTGTTGTGCATATAAATAAGATTGCAGTTGTTCAATGTGGGATACAAACATATCACTCGATAGGTCGGTCGGTATTATTACCCAAAAGACGATCACTAAATTAGGTGGATAAGATCATGTTGAGACGATAATACGTATATTTGTACATATCGTATCTAGACAAATATATCTGAATTCAGCAAATACATACGTAAGAAAACACCAACAACGCATCCATCCATCGGACTATTGATGTGTTCATCCAAAAACCTTTCTTAACGAGCTGAAAGTGAATGATACATGTGCCGCACTTCAAACAAATAAGTTTATTATTTGGTGAATAGATAAACATAATCTTTGAAATACCTAGGAGTGAACATAAACATATATATTTAAGTATATCTACAGAGCAATGGTTCTCAAGAAAAGGTTTGGGGAGAAATGAAGGGAAAATTCCTTTTTAGGGTAATTCAAGGTGTTACAAAGAAATAGGCGGAGGTTGGCGAGCCACAGTTGATTGATTTTACGTCATATTTCTTTTACATATGCTCAAGAATCTTTTAAAAAATGCATGTCTGAAATTTACTCCATTGATACCACTGAAGAAATCTTGACAGAAAATTCATCGATCATTGCACCAGTTCCTTTATTTCCATTTGGTTAGTCATTAAGTTGTTTTAGATCGTCAGATGAAAAGGGAATTGCAGTCACGTGGAGAAGGAGGCGAAGGAATGGCGGTTTGTCATACGATGAAAGGGGTGAACGAGAGTGAGAACATGAGAACCTCTGCTACATTCTCCTAGTACTACTCGCATCGAAAACAAGTGCGACGGCAATGATAATCTGATAAATATTAATGTTAAGACCGCAATAACCCTCATCATCATCCCCATCTGAACACAAACCACGCGCATCAACACATAAGCACGCATGTCAACAACTCATTCAGCAGTTCCACTCCTTTGAACTGAACCCGCGCTTATCTGCGTACAAAAACAAACAGTTCAAGTATGCTTAAGCACGCTATGTATCATATTCTGTTTTATCCCTAGTGTCATCTGTTAAGAACAATGCAATACAACAATGCGCAACGTCGTCACTCTAAAGGGCAGATTATGAATCCATTTAAAAAAAGCGCATCGTATATCGATATTCTTCCACTGCTGAACGTAGACCGGTTGCTAACGTTGGGTTTAACACATATATAGAGAAGCCAATCTTAGGCTTGCGGTTATTCTCTCTATCTGCTAACAAATAAGCCTAGAGATGACGGCGATCTAACAAGGAGTCCTTCGAACGTCGTCTGTCTGCCTCTACGATACTTATAGGTTTCAGAAGGCGGCCAGCATTTTGCCATCTTTTGCAGTGTTACTGATTTCCGTAATGAAATATATGCAACCCAAGAGGCCATTTTACATGATGTGCATGCAACGCCCTTATATGGCGGAAACAACTCAGAATAAGAAGATGAGCTTAATTTGTCTAATTCATTGTTTTTTTGGTGAAGAGACACATCAATCGCAAAATATGTCGACGCATAAAATAAGTTTATCCATAACAATGCAAATTTAGGCGCGCAAAATAATAAGTGATCATGATCGTAACAATACAGTAGTTCCGGTGAACGCCCATCAGGGAGCAATTCAAAGAAAATGGAGGAATGTGATCATAGAGTAAAATAGCCGGCGGAAATTCGCTCGAATGGAAAGTTTGTTTTACGGAGTACACTCGATTGCGACGAACTGGAGATACTAACTTAAAAACTACTGACATGATCTTCGAGAGCATAGGTTGAGATCGAGATCATCCTCAGCTCGAGATCATCCTGACTCTTTTTGTAGGTTTTTCCCACTCTCCAAATGCCCTTCCCTCATCTGTTCTTGATTTGCGGCTTTTGTTGTGAATATGATCACTTTTTCATCTAATTACGATCCTATCGATCCCATGAATCGAGTAAATTCTGAAAGTTCCATGGGAAATTGAACAATCATCTCATGTTTATTTGGATAATACAAATATCGGAATAAATATTTGAATTCGGGGAATAATCAACGCATGAGACAAACCCTTAAACAATTATTCGGTAATCTACCCTGGGATGATGCGAAATTTTTTCAGATGCACTGGTAGAAATTGATTTAAGTCTGTCCAGAAGAACTGCTTTGTAACACTTTTAGTTGAAATTTACATGGACTTTGTTCGTTTTTTTAAACAAATACGAATCATTTTGTCTTGTACACTAATTATGGACGTGAAAAACGCTCAATGACAGCCTTGTTGAAATGTTCGATTGCAAAGTGCGACGAAAAAAAAAGGTGCGATTTCTATTTTTGACTTAACTCCTGCACGAAAGATTTCTGAATAAGCATGAATAAGTACAGTACTTTGAATTGAAACAGTAAACTGAATATTTTGAGAAGAGACAAAACGGAACCATTAGAAGAAACATTATGAAAAAACTATTCTATAATTGTCAAAAGAGATAACTGCTATCTGGCATGTATAACAGTTAACATTTATGCAACATACAAAGCACTTACATATGCAAAAGCGATAGCTTTGTTTTGAATCTATTGATTTCAATTAATTCGTAACGAACTTTAATTAACTGTTCGTTGATTCTGTTCGTCGAATGAATCAAATGAATAACTCTTTCATGCTGAAGAAAACACTAACTACTTCAATGTTGACGAGAAATGAGTGAAAAAGAAAGACAGAAATGGGCATGCGATAATTAATAAATGAAGTAAATTAATCACAAAACAATAAATGAATTTTTCATACGCTCTTAACTGATTAGTTTAATTTCAAACCCATACATACTTATTGATGTATATGGCAATAGGTGTAAAGTGCTTGTTGTTTCATTTCAGAACCATTCAACTAAACCTATTAAAGTTGTTATTTTCAAAGAGTACAATCTGTTATAGGTCTATCAGTACGTATAAGATACTTCCTTATCACTACCAATGCATCAAACTCTGGTTACTAAGCCTAAACTAAGCGATACAACCACTCATTCGAGTTCGAATAAATCAGCACCTCAAAGAAACGTTAGTTATTATATCAGTATCATTTTTATTCTCGTAGTATTTTTTGATTCAAACTCTACTTTTAGTGGTCGAATTTGCGATCAAATGCAAGTATCGCTTAAAAAATTTCTTGAATGAGTCGTATGAATGCGTATGACATAGAATGAAGTTTTTTGTAATCGTTTATTAATGCCAACATGAAGCTGAGATATTGTCAACTTAATCTTATCCTAACCTCAAATATCTGTTC